AAGCAGTGGTATCAACGCAGAGTACTCAGCGGGCCCGGATAACGGCAGTTCGTTTTCTTGCTGTGATGGTTGCTCAACTTGGCGCAACTCCACTGGCAAAATCAGGTCAGGATTTAGCAAGCGTGATAAAAAAAAGTCTCAAAAAGAAGCATGCAGCTTTCTTAAGTTCGGTTTCACGAATTCAATAGATTCTGTATGGAATGCCCCCTCAAATATCTCAACGTCAAAATGTCCTGGACAAGACAGAAATACGATTTTTTTCAAGTTTCACCACGCAGTGATCTCACAAAAAACGTTAATCGTAGCTCAAAAATTTACAAAAAAGGATCTGCCAGAAAATTACAGAAAAAGCTAACTTCTAGAATACAATTAGATTACAGTAATCCTTTATAACGCGAGAGCATGTTTTAAATAATGACTCACACATTATAATACTCAAGTAATGTTTGGTATGGCAGCACATTTTTCGAAGAATGAAGACCACGAAACGCGATTTGCTTACAAATTCCAACCTCGCAAGAAGAGACCTGCTACATATAATGCAAATATGAGCTCTAGTTATTTTTATTTGATGCAGAAATGCTAGCTTATTTCCTGCATTGCTGACTTACAAGGGAAAGGACAGTGACCGTTGGTGACAGTGACCATTAATAATGAGTTGTAAAATGCGTGCAAAAACCATCAAAAAGTACCCTTTTGTATGCAAAACTGTCTTCCATATCTGCAGAACGATAACCTGGATAGAGTTATAATTATTTTTTCAAGACTGAATTGCGCTACTGTGGAGGGTAAAAATCATCGATAACAATTCTTCTTTCCTTTCCAACTGCTGAGGATGATTTAGAATGTTATGAATACAATAGTGCCGTCTGACTTCCCTTTTAGAGTAGTCGGAAGCTGACAGATATTTCCTACACATTTAGAAGTGGTGCAATAGGCTTTTAACATGACGTCATGAATAAATGACAGCAAACAGAGATGCTGTGAGACTCGTTGGAAGAATTCAGAATTTGACATGATTAGGTAACTGGATAGTTTTAAAACTAGCTGTATTCTCGATGCACTTTTCTTTCAAAACGCTCTTCGACTCCTATCTCTAGCTCCCCAACATTCGCCTCAAATGTTTTTACAAGATATGTAAGATTTTACACCATTTCTAGAAATATGTCCGTACTTATTATACTACTTCACTAATAATTACACAAACACAACAGGTACAAAATACAGAACAAAAGTTTGTTACGATGGAGATTTTAGAAGTATGCTGAATATCAGTCTCAATAATTAGCGTTTTATCTGAATGATCC